AGGACATGACCCCCAGTGCCACTCTGGGAACCCAGGTGTGTCTGGTTCAGGAGGGGCATGACCCCCTGTGCCATGCCCAGAACCTGCCTGGATCTGGTTAAGGGAAAAATGCCATAGAAGACATTCTTGAGACAAGTGGAGAGATTTGAAAATGAACAGGAAATTATTAGCTGGTATGTGAACCAAGTGCCCATTTCTCAGGTGTGATAATGACATTGCGGATGTGTGGAGACCATCCTAATCCTGTGACTTGTGTGCTCTTGAATTATTTAAGGAACTTGGTAGATTGTTTGTAGCTACTTTCAGATGATTCAATAACAATAAATATGTATTTAGAAAAAAGAGGTAAAGCAAGTATGTTTTAGCATATAATTAGCACATAATTGCTAGATCGGGGTGGGGGTACAGAATTCTTTGTTTTTCTCCATTGTGTTATTTTCTGAAATAAAAATGGGGAAGGCTGACCCTTCTCGGCTCCTCAAGTCCCAGCTGTGGCCTGTGTCTGTTTCCTCCCAGGCACACAGGGGTGATCAGAGGGCAGACCTGGGGTGGCTTTAAGAACCAGACAAGTTGATACACAGTACCTCCAGGACAGGGCTACACAAGGTGTGAATAAAGATCAGTTTTTAGTTTTTTGCTGAGCATCCAACACCGGCCAGGCCCTGCTGAGCATCACCACACTTTCTGCCTCCATAAAATCCAGTTAGCAGGGGTTTCAAAGAGGAATGCAGACAGCTTTCTACTGTTTGCATATTTCTTGCTAAACATCTGGAATTTGCTGTTATTGCAGCAAAGTCCAGAGAATACTGATTCATTTGCAAAATAATCCAATTAACTTCCACTCTCCAAATTCACCTAAATATTAGCAGTTCTCTTCAAAAAAGCAATCAACCCAACAATCAGTTTTTAAGGACTGTATTTTCTAGCGAGTTTTATTTCTTCTCAATGCGTTTTGCTTAATTTAATAGACAATTCTGAAAAATGCGTCTAAGCAAGGATCACACCTTAACCCTCTCATTATGTGTTAAGTGTTTCATTATTGTTGTCATTTGGCCTTCAGAGAATTCAGTTCTGTAGGGAGGAACATGGCAGATCAGAAAAGATAGTCTTATTATTTTTAGAGGTCTTACTTCTTAAAATTTAATGATAAACTATCAACTTGTAGAACAGTATGGTTCTGTTTTTTGAAGGACAATGAATTGGGTAGCATTTTTGCACTGTTAACGGCAAATATTAGAAGGGCAGTAAGAAACTGTCCCCAAACCTCAACATACTTCAATAGTAAAATTAATTTTCAATTTCAAATTCGATTCCGACCACTAAGCAAATAGCTTCAAATGAAATAATAAATCCTGGCATTTAATAAAGAGTAACAGTATAAACCAAAACAAACCTTGCTTTATAATTCAAATCTAACAACTCAAATAAGTCATTCCAATCACTGGCAAAGGGCCCTGCCTCACACTAGCAGGGTGGAACCCTGGCAGGTCCAGAGAGAATTGGGCAGCAGGAGGGGACACTTCCTTCCACAGAGAGCTCCTGGGACAAGTCCCCCCCCCCCCCCCCGGATGGGTATGCTTTACAGCTCCATGCTACAGCCCCAGCCCAGAGTGCCAGAGAGAGGCATGGTACTGGAGTCTAGGCACACCAGGGAGCCCCAAGCCCTGAGCACTAAGGCCCTTACATTCAGGATCCTGGAGCATGACTTCCTTACAAGGGTCAAATACCCAAAACGTCTCAGGATCTCACCTCTGAAAAACTTCTTACAAAGGCCAGTTTATAATTCCTGGAGCAAAATCTTGGGCAGGAATAAAAGGATGCTCTGGAAACACTGAAGTCACTGAACTTGAAGCTATCAAAGAATTCTACAGCACTCAATTTAATTTGCAGGGTTGGCGGGGGAGTTGGTTATGATTTGCTACAAGTGCAATTCCCAAGAATCTTCCCTATTTATAATTTATTTTCCCCCATGTTTAAGTTCCAGCGGTTTTAGTCATTATGTTGATATCAGAGAAACCTATACATTTAAAGAGATAGCTGAATTGTTGCAACCTTATGCTTAACACACTGCTCTATATACAATTCTGCTAATTTACTTACAGGGTATTTCTCAGGTACAGGCCCTGTATTAGCTGAAACCTGGTAAACGACAGGTGTTAAGATGGCCACAGTGACCCTCACCCCCACTCCCAGTACACACACCCTTCCTCTCGAATGAGGGCTGGGCCCAGTGACTAGGTTCTAACAAAGAGAACATGGCAAAAGGGATGGGATGTCCCTGCCAAGATTAGGTCATGAAGACTGTGGCCTTCTCGCTTGCTGTCGTGGTCTATCACTGGCTCCCCCTCACTTGCCCGATGAAGAGCCCCAGGGGCTGAGTGAGCGGGCCTGGAAGCACAGTCAGACACACGGTCAAACCCTCAGATGAGACCACAGCTCCAGCCAGCACTCTGAAGGCAGCCTTGTGAGACTCTGAGCGAGGATCCAGCTAAGCAGTGCCTGGATTCCTGACCCACAGACACTGTAAAATAATAACTGATGTTTTAAGGCACTAAGTTTTGGGGTAATTTGTTGGACAGCAATATATAAACAATGCAACCATGCAGCACTATCACACCTTTAAAAATCCAAGAATAGGAAAATAAAGAGCCTAACCAAACCTGAGTGCCCAATTTGGCAAGTCTTTTCCAAAACTTCACAAAACAAATTAAGTTTTAAAAAAGGAACAAAAGCACAAAAAAAGAAAAAATCAGAACTAAGTGTTGAGTAAAAAGGTCCCAAGTGTGGTTACATTTGGCAAATAAAAGTTCCTAAGCTGGACTATGTGGGGACTCCATTTGGTTAAGATTTGGTCCTATGAAATGTCAATCTGAAAATCTCAACGGGTTTTCTCCCAAGTAACCAAGCAATGAAGTTGTGGCACAAAGTGAAATACTGAACTGACCAGTTCAAGTGTCTCTCCTGGGAGTCCATATAGCTCAGAGTTTTAGATTTGTATCTTGTCCTACTGCCCAATCTCTGGATAAGTTTGCAAGCCTAACACACGTTGATCTTTCTAAAAGTATTCCTGCTGTTCACTCATTCATTCACGCACTCACTTCTTCATTTAACAGTTGTGTGCTGCCTGCTGGCCTCACACCAGGCAGCCAGGTCTGGGAGCTGAGCTGGACAAGGCCCTTGCCCTCTTGGGCTTTTCATTCTCTCAAACTCCTCCAGCATGATCTTACTGGACACACTCTGGAGCCATTCCCCAATCAAAGAGCAGCACATAACACACCCTATTTTTTCATTAGCACTTTCAAATTAAAGGAGAACACGGGTTCTAGATGAGTCTCATTCAAAGGTTTCAGAGAAGCAAAGACCCCCAATTGCTAGGTCCTTTAATATTTTCCTTTCCGGGAGTGGAGAAGGTGCCTGATCCACTCACCTGATATGTATGCTCGCCTGCTCCAACTTTCCTGCCCCAGGCCAGTGCCCCCAAAACACTTCCCTCGGCTTCCAATACTCCTGGTTGGACCCCACCCCTCCTGGAACTTCCTGGACACTGAAAACACCTCCAGTCTCAGGATGGAGGGCACACCCACACATGGAGAGAGAAGAGGGCAGGGGTGGTTGAAGGTGATGAACACTGACCACAAGGCCAAGGCAAAAGACAGTAGGCCTGGAGTAGGGGCTGGAAGAATAAGGTAGGGGATCTGGGGAGTGAGCACAGTGCTGGCCTGAGGCATGGAGCCAGTGTGGACGAGGAGCTCCACTCGAACCCCCAGAGACATGAGGATGGTCCCAACCCTGCCTCACATGTGTCCCTAGGGCCCAGCCAGGCAGCATCTGCTGAAGGTCAGAAGGTCTGTAGGGCTGGCCCAGGTGCTCATAACATCAGGGTGCTCAAGGGCCTCACAGGGATTTGCACTGTGGGGCTCAGGTGACCAGGATCCCTGATGCCCCCAAGCCTTCACAGCAGGTGGATCCAGTTGAGCAGACTGGACATATTAAAGGCTCCTCTGGATCCTGCCTCAGGGGTCCAACCCGCTGGAGGGCTGGCTTGGGGTTCCAGCATTCCTCAGAGTCCACTCTTGGGGTCTGGGTGATTCCCATCGACTTGCTCAGGAGTTCTGGCCTTCTGAGGGACCAGCTCTTGTCTGGGTCCTGGCCCTCCCCGAAAGCCTGGCTTCTTCGTGGTCCTGCCCCAGCATCCAGATGCTCCCAAATGACCCACCCCGGGCCCTGATCATCCCGAGTCTGTCGCATGGGATGAACCCTCCGCATGGCACCCTGGCCTCCCACTCACAAGGGACAGTCTCAGGGTCTGGCAAGGACTGTTCTAGGACCCCAGCCCTCCTTGGAGCCAGTCTTGGTGTCCTGGCCGTCCTCAGGGACCCAGCCCAGCTGTTCGGCCCTCCCTGGGTCCTGCCAGGTCCTGGGTCCGGCCCTCCTCAGGGACCCAGCCCAGCTGTTCGGCCCTCCCTGGGTCCTGCCAGGTCCTGGGTCCGGCCCTCCTCAGGGACCTGTCTCGAGCGCAGCCCTCTCTGGCTCCTGTCCAGTCGCAGGGTCCCGTCCTCCTTGGTGACCCGTGCTGGGGTTGGACCCTCTTGACGACCCACCCCAGGGTTGGACACTCCTCGGTGACCTCTCTCTGGGTCGGTCCGGCGCTTCCCGGTCCCTGTCTGGTGGGTCTGGGGTCTAGCCCTCCTCCGCGAGCCGTTTCAGGGTCTGGCCTTCCCCGCTGGCCGGTCCCGGGGTCCGGTCCTCCCTGGTCCCTCCCCGATGACCCGTCCCGGGGTCCGGCCCTTCCCCGTGACCTGTCCCGGGGTCCCGACCCCGTGGGTCCGGCCGGCGCCCGGAGCCTGCCGAGCCGTGTGGGGACTCCGCGGGCCGGGCCGACGAGGGGCGCAGGGGCGCGGGCAGGGGTCCCGAGCCTTCCGGGCCCGCACACCGGCCGAGGCCGCGGCCTGAGGAACGGGCGCCGCGGGCCAGGCCAGGCGGGGCGCGGACTCACTGACCTGCCGTCTCGGCTGCGGGCGAGCAGGGCGCACGCGGGGGCAGCGCCGGGAGTGGGGGGGGCGCCGCTCCCTCCGGGTCCCCCCCAAGAGCAGGAGAAAAAAACCCGTCCGGAGTTTAAAACAAAGAGGCGGAAATGCCCGAACGGAGCCGAGCGCCGAGTCGGGGGCGCCGCGCATGGAGCATGCGCGTTGCGCGGCCCGGCTCCCACCCCGCAGCCGGGGAGGGGGCGGGGCCCGGGGGCGGGGCCTGAAGGGCGGGGCGGGGCGTGGTCAGAAGGCGCAGGCGCGTTCGGGCAGGGCTTGGCCGGGGGATCTGGAGCTGGGAGGGTGCCAGGGGCGGGGCCCGCAGACGAGGCAGGGGACTGCGGGGGCGTGGCCCGAGGGGCAGTGGGCAGAGGGGGCGTGGTCGGCGGGTGCTGCGCCGGGGTTGCGGGGAGGGAGAGTCCTGCCGGACGCGGGATCTAGTAGGCAGCCGGCGCCGAGCCCGGCTCCCGGACCGGGGCATTCTTGTGGCGGAGTCGGTCTCGTTCTTGCGATCCAGTCCTTTGTGGGACCTGGCACAGAGCGCTCTCCGTGCTCCAGGCGGGAGAGTGGGCAGCAGGGCTGACCCCGCAACTCTGTGCGTCCACCCTTGCACAGGCCCTGCCCTGGAGCGTGAGCAGTGGTCGTGACGTCCATCCCTTCCTGGGGTCCACACCTTGGCGGGGGAGGGGGCAATAAGAAAGGCAAAAACAAATCTGGTGTCATATGGGAGCCGGATGAACTGGGTAGGGGAGGCAGTGGATGTCTGGAGTGTTAGTTACAATAGGGTGGATGGGCATGGAGACGAGATCGGGCGCGTTCAGGGTGGTATGGCCGTAGACGGGTGGATGGGCATGTAAAGGACACAGAGGGAGCCAGCCATAGAGGCACAGAGTCGGAACATAGAGGGAAGGAGCCCTGCAAATATCTGGAGGTGGGGTTCAGAGGTAAGTTGTCCTGCCAGCACCAGGGTACAAAGTGGGGGGTGTTGAAGGATGCTTGCCAGGGGCCAGCATGGAAGCCAGGGGGCATGGGGCATGGAGAGGGAGGAGATGAGGTCAGATGGAGAGGTCCCTGGGCATTCGGAGCAGAGGGTTGATGGCATGGTGCCAGCATGGTAAAGCCTCCCTCTGGCTGTCTTGTGTTTGTCTGGCATGAGCAGCGAGGGAGACAGTGCAGGGAAGAAGCCGCGGTGCTGCACTGGGTGGTGCCGGGGAGGGGAGGAAGTGTGGACTGCTGGGGCTCAGCCTGAGAACAGGCAGGGATGGGTGAGGAACAACTGGAAGAGTGGACAGCCTCTGACAATCTGGGGATGGTGATGGAGCACAGGAGGGTGGGGTCAGGAGTGCAGCTGTAATAGCCATTAGACTCCCTGTGGCCCTTCTGTGAGTCTGTGGGCTTCAGGAGTGGAGTCTGAGTTTGCAGTGTTTGGAGTGAGGGATGGGGGGCGCTGAGCCCCCTGCCCACGTGGAGAAATCAGAGAGTCCAGGAGGATCCAGCAAGAAAGACCCAGATTGAGCAGACTGGGGAGAAGGATCCCCAGGGGTGAGTGATGTCTTGTCAGCTGCTGAGAGGGGTGTGGGGAGTGGGACCCTTCTGGGACCTCGTCCAGTGCGGCGTGGTTGCATTGCCAGAGTAAAAACTGAATTGTGGTGGGCTCAAGGGAGGAGGGTAAATATAGACAACCTTTCCAGGGGTTTTTCTTTGGAGGGTTTCTGGGACTAGAGGGCTGTTTTCTGTTTGGGTCAGAGCCTCAGTGGCACTGATGGGGTACAGGGAGAGATGAGCACACTGGAGAGAGGGAAGGCTGCCTGAGCCCAAGTCCTTACCCAGGACTGGGGACCGGATCCGGAGCAGGGGGCTGTGGCAGCCTTTCACACTGGGGGAGGAAGACCCCGATGCAGGGAGTGGGGCCTGGGCAGCATCTCATCCAGCTGTTTCTATTTTCCAGGGAAATGGCAGCTAAGTTGAACCAGTCTGGAGTGGAGGCCTGGGTGTCAGAAGTGGGGATAGGGCGCCTGGGTGGCTCAGTCGGTTAGGTGACTGCCTTCAGCTCAGGTCATGATCCCAGGGTCCTGGGATCGAGTCCCACATCAGGCTCCCTGTTCCACAGGGAGCCTGCTTCTCCCTCTCCCACTCCCCCTGCTTATGTTCCCTCTCTCGCTGTGTCTCTCTCTGTCAAATCAATAAATAAAATCTTAAAAAAAAAAAGAAGTGGGGATAATAGGCCAGGAACAGCCCTGGGCACAGAGCAGTGACCCCAGGAAGTCATGCAATGGCCTTCTGACACTGTAGCTGTCTGTCTGCAAATGGGGGAGAGCCAGAGTGTGTGCATGAGGCATGGCCACAGGTCTCTCTCAAAGAGTGCAGACAGGACATCTCACCTGCCTGCTCTCCCCGGGGACCTCATCAGCAACAACACCCGAGATCTTGACCTTGAACTCTGGGCTCCTATATCCAACTGTCTGGCCATATCTCTGCTGGGCTATCTTTAGGGAGCTCAGGCTCTGATATCAGGATATCAACTCCTGATCTTCCCCCGAGCCTGCTACTCACCCCAGCCCCCATTGCAGAGGAGAGGGCTCCATCCTGCCTGCTAAGCCAAGACACTGGGGTCCTTTCTTCCAAGCCCATACCTGCTGTCAGCAGACCCCTCAGAATATGGCTATAGCTTTCCACCCCCACTCTGGTCCAAGGTCATGGATTGCCTCTGGATTAGTGCATAGCCTCCAGACTGGTCTCTCTGCTTCTTTTCTTGACACTCCCTCCCCCAACATCTATTCTCAACACAGAGTAGTAACTTTCATAACACATTAGTCGAGCCATGTTTCTCCTCTGCTCAAAAGCCTCTAGGAGCTTCAGTCAGAGCAAAAGCCTAAGAGCAGCGTGATTGCAGGGCCCCAAGGAAACCTAAGATGATGGAACTGTGTGTTGTGTGGGTGGCGGTGGTAAGTTCATGGGTGTATACGTGGGGCAAAACCCACTGAGTGTACTGGTCGCATGCATGTGGTCTACACCTCAATAGAGCAGGAAAGAAAGAAGAAACCAGAAACATGGTACAAGCAGTGAGAGGACACTGCCTCCCCACCCCCCAGCCCACTGCTCCCTCCTCCCAGGAGGGTGAGCTGTCCTCGCTCCTGTGCCACCCAGCCATCCCAGGGCATGGCCTGTCCTTGGCACCCACCCAGCTGCTCCACCTCACCTCTCCCGGACCATTCTCTGTGTTGGATCACTCCATTCACTTACAAACTCGGGGTGAGGCCGCCCATTTTAACAGTATGGAACAGGACTTATTCTCTCCTGATGGTGTACTTCTGTGCTTGTCTTCACAGCATGACTCCTCCAAAGAGCTGTCTATACTCGGCCTCTCCAGTTTCTCTTTCCATGATCTCTCTTAAACCCTTGGGCTTCTGCCCTGCCCCAACTCGAACAAAATGCTCTGGTCCAGGCACCCAAGGCTTTGTGGGGCTCTGTCCAGTGGCCATTGTCATCTCCATGACCCCCTGTGCTGCTTCTCCCCTGAAATACTTTCCCTGTAGCCCATTCTCCATCGTGCTCTGCCCCATTCCCGGCACCTTCTTGGCCCCTCTGCCACCCTCTCTCCTCCTGGGCTTTTCCTGCCAGGCCTCCTCCCCTCTCCCTGAGGCTCCTCTCCTGGCCAGTGCTCACTCCGCCCATGGTTTCAAGCCCAGTCCAAATGCTGGCTACGCTCCTATGTTTATGCATGATGTGTCCCTCCAGTGGACAGCAGACATCATTCCCACCAGGTTCAGGACACAACTCGGGCCGACACAGGTGACCTGCTTCCTTCCACCTTCCTCATCTCAACCAATAGCCACTCCATCTTTTCTGTTACGGGGGCACAAACATTTGGACTCATTCCTGATTCTTCTCTTTCTCTGTTTTCTCACATCCAACTCCTGGGGAAGCCCTGGGGGCTCTATCTTCAAATATGCCTTAACGCAACCATGGCTCTGGGACTGCACAGCTGCTGCCCTGGCCTGAGCCCACCTGTTCTGTCTGGGTTGTTACCACAGCCTCTGCCCTGCCCTCAGTCTACGCTGAACAGAGCAGCCCAGGAGCTGACCCTTCGGTACCTAAGTCAGAGGGTGCCAGGCCTCTGCTTAGCAGCCCAGTGGTTGCTCTGAGTCTCCGAGGTCCTGCCTCAGGGCCAAGCCCTGCCTTGACTCTGGCCTGGCCTGGTTGCTCTCCCCAACTCACTTCTCCCAACTGTGTGGCTCTCCTGGACATCCCGGCTGTCACGTCTCAAGGCCTGGCAGGCCGCTCCTGGACCTGGGTGGCCCATCCTTACTGCCCACGTGGCTCTTCCCTCCCTCAGGCCTATGGTCAGGTATCCCCTGAGGCCTCTCCTGATCAGTCTGGCGACAAAACCTCACCGTTGGATAACTTATCTTGTTGGCAAGACCCTCATGTATTGCTAATGGAGATTGACAACATCCAGTGAAACTACATAGACATTTATCCTTTGGCCCAGCTATCCCCGAGTAGGAATTTATCCCAAAGATAAATTGGGAAAACTGGCAAACACTGGCAAATGCCAACAAACAAACAAACAAACCCCCACGGACAAGGCTGCTAATTGAAGCATAATTTGTAACAGAAAAAACTGGAGCCAGTCCGCAAGGCATCACGTGTGAGTCTGCGCGCTGTGGGTCCTAGTAGCTGTGGCAGGACGGGCAGATGCCCGTGTGTGCCATCACGGGGCCGCCGCCAGGGGTGCGAGCCCGGAGGCAGTGCTGCGATGTGCAGGGCGCGGGGTGGCCCTGTCGGTGAGGCGTCTGCCTTCCACTGGGGGCCTGATCTCAGGGTCCTGGGATGGAGCCCCGGGTCAGGCTTCCTGCTTCAGTGGGGAGGCTGCTTCTCCCTCTGCCCCACTCGTGCTCTCTCACTCTCTCGGTCTCAAATAAGTGAATAAAATCTTAAAAAAAGGATAAGCAGGGTGGAGAGCAGGGTGTGTGGAGCGCTGCCGCTCACCCGTAAATGCGGGTCATCGTGTGTTCTGCGGGCCTGGGTGAGGACCCGTGTGGATTGCAGCAGGCTGGTGGTAGTGCAGGGCATTTGTGTCATGAGACAGAGGGAGGGTAAACACAGCAAAACAACCTCAGCTGGCTGGCACTCGCCTCAACGCGCACACACGTAAAC